TGCCACTTCTCTGTCCATTCGGTCCACATCGCCAGCCGTCAATGTTATCCATACCGCAGCCTACAGTCACCAACATCTTGAAGATTCTTCGCACTCTGAACGTGCACAAGGCTCCGGGGCCGGACAGAATACCCTCGATCCTGTTTAAGAATTGCCATGAAGTTCTAGCAGGCTCACTGTGTGCAATATTCAAGGCATCCATTGAGGAGAGCAAGTTTCCAGCTTTGTTCAAACACGCATCCGTCAGAGCCCTTTTCAAAGGCGGAGACCGCTCAGAGCCGCGAAACTTCCGACCCGTCTCTCTCTTGCCCATTGCTAGTAAGGTCCTCGAGAAGCATGTATATCGCCAGCTTACTCACCTCCTACTGGAGAACCCCACCATCATCCCGCCACAACAATTTGCGTACAGACGGCATCATTCATGTGAAGAGGCTCTGGCTATTGCGATCGACAGCTGGCAAAGGGATCTCGATTCGAAGAAGGTCGTTGGCGTCGTTCTCGCAGATGTGAGGAAGGCGTTCGACAGCGTCAACCATCAGCTGCTACTGAACGAACTTTTTAATTGTGGAGTTGGTGATGCGGCTTTGGCATGGTTCAAAGATTACCTGAGTGACAGGACACAGCAGCTCATAGCGCCGGACAATCTGATTCGTGCATCGTGCAGCCAAGGAGTGCCGCAGGGGTCTGTGTTGGGCCCAGTGCTATTCAGCATTTACGTAAGAGGCCTTCCTGGATGTGTGAGTGCCTCATCTGTACTTCAGTTCGCTGACGACGTTAACATGTATGCAGCTGGTGACACTACTGAAGAAGTCGTGGACAAATTGAACGGCGATCTTATTAAGTTATCGGATTATCTGAAAGGAAAGCGAATGAAATTAAATCCGGCTAAAACGAAGTTCATACTGCTCCACCGCAAGACCACCGATGTCCCGATGTCTGCCTATGTCACCATTGATGGTGTCCATGTTCCCCGCACGCAGTCTGCTCGCTACTTGGGTATTGTACTTGACGAAAACTTGACTTTTGGCCCACAAATAGACAACCTTGTAGGCTCTGTCAACAGGAAACTTGGTGCATACCGCTTATCCCGCCATCTTCTGCCATACCATGCTCGGCGTACCTTCTATTTAAGTGTCATTCAGTCAACCTTGGAGTATGCAAGCAGCGCTTATATCCATTCCCTAAGTTCTATGAACTATGATAAGTATGTCCGTTTGTTCAATAGATCCCTCAGAATAGTATTTGGTTTTGAAAAGTCTACCAGTGCTTCACACATTCTTAGCCTTTACAGCCTTTATCATATTTCGGTGCGCGTCAATTTGAAATTGTTCATTCTTTTGTTCCGGTGCATCCATAGCGGAACATGCAGCTCTTTGCTTCAAGAAATCTTTACCAGCCGCTGCTGTAGCTCTCACACCACTGCCACTACGAGATCCCAGGTGTCTTTTTCTTTGGCATTACCCCCAGCACAGAGTACGGCTGGCTTTTCTCGGATTGGCTATCTCGCTGCTGACCGGTGGAATATGCTGCCTTCCACTGTTCGTACTTGTACCGATTACCGCTCATTTATTCGCTCATGCATAACCTTCCTAGGGGCTCCCGTAAGAAGACCATAGGTCTGTGGGAAACACCCTAGTAAAATAAAAGTTAATAATAATAATAATAATAAACAGGCTAGTGAGTTGTACCCTGCAGGCACGGTGACCAGGTGACTGGTGTACGCAGGAGCACGTGACCGCTTGTTCAACCATGTTCGATTGGGAATAAAGGAAGAACGCTACATCGCAGCCTTTTCGGACCAAAACCAGTCGACTCAGCGTCCAAAAGACTACAACATATGGGCCAATCGCGGTCATCCGTGCTTTTATAAGAACGAAATGGCGCTTTTAGTGACATTTTCCATACAAATCCCCATCTAGTAGGGCGCAGTCACCCAGTTTCGGTGGAAGTGCGCGGGTTCGATTGGGAATAAAGGAGGAAGGGAGCGTCTCAGCTTCCTCGGACCAAGACCATTCGACTCAGCACCCCGAAGACTACAACTGGTGAAAATTTGATTTTAGGGTATACTTCCCCTTTAACTTCATACTGTTCGTCTTCTTTTTGACATGCTCTCTTTCCATCGTCCTTAGCTTTGGTTTGTTGTGAGCTGTTTTCGCTTTCTCCTATACCTCTGGGGGATGCCAAGTGATGGTTTTGATAGGCTGGTGATGGCTGTGAGCGAGAGTTTGCCGGTCGGCGTCGTCCTCGCTATAGCGATGAAAATACTAGTTACTGCGCACCTGGCAGATATCACAACATGTCGGAGCGTCCAGGAGCAAAAGAATCTTGGGTTTTCACTGGAATCTAGTTCCTCCAGCATCGTGTAGCCCACCGTCGGTGAATGGCCGTCCAGAAAGGTCGAACCTGGTCTTCTGCAGCATCTCGCAGTCCTGCAAGGCACACTGAATACGCCTGTCATGTATTCTACAAATAAAAATCACGAAGTAGTGGATTCTATAGTGATGAGTCTATCCCGTACGCTGCAAAAGACACAGGAAATGTGACTGGTGTCTGCACACTGGACGCCAATATCCCAGTCTTCTCCTGCAGGATCTGTTTGGCATTGACATACCGGTATGCAGTGGGGCGACATTGGCCTGGTTTGGCAGCTATCTGCCTGGGTGGATGTAGCAGGTTTGCATTGGCTCGTCGTCCAGTCCGACATATTCTTGTAACTGTGGAGTACCGGCAGGGTTTGAGAGGTTGCTCATGCTGTGAACACATCTCTACTGCCTGTCTCGTCCTGGAAGTGCCGTCTCGCCGCTTCCTTGCTCTACCGTCGTGCTTATTTCGCTTTGTTTTGTGGTGCAGCTCAAAACCTGACCAAAGGCAACTGTGAGCTCGCAACATGGTATGGACAAATTCCGCCACTCATGATGGATGACTAAAACCGGGATAGTCGAGTAAGCGAGTTTACTCCCTGGGCCATGGCAAGATCTGTCAGCGCGGGCTATTTCAACCTCCAAGTGCATAGTCACCGATCGATCCATGCGATGGTGGTTGACCTACAAAGAGCCAAGGTCTATGAGAACTACTAGTGGATGCTGTCTACATGCAGTCAACAAAATCAAAGTACCTCAGTATGCCCCAGAATAGGGCATGCGCATCTACTAGTATAGCATGACACAACTGGGGTTCTGGCGGCACATGTCAAACAAGCAGTAGCTACTAGTGCCAGCTAGAGAGGCTAGCTGCTACAGTCTGTCACTGGAGATAATTATTATGTTCACTGTTTGGACTGAGCACAATCAATGATGCCCAATCAATCTGCCCAATGTGTGTTCTGTTCCACCTAATTATAACGTGCCATCGCATCAACCCTACTACACGCACATGTCATCACTCTAGCATGACTTGTGTTATTATTGTTTATTTTGATTCTCACGATAAATAGAGCACAATAAACGTTAACTTGACCGAAGGATAAAGGCGACTGCAGATAGAGGAACACATCGAGGTACAGGTACCGACATCAATACAGTATCAGGGAGAAACAAACAAAAATGAGAGGCACGCAGAAAAAACTCCCAAGTCTGAAAGGGGAAGTGGTTGATGACGGATGAATGCACTGTCCACGCTCATCTACACTGTTCGTGGAAATGCACACATGCATACAATAATATACTGTAGCGGGCCGCAGTCTCTCGGAGGCAAAAATATAAGGGTCTCAGTGAACACACTGTAACTTCAAATTGAAATGTACTAGGCTGACTGGCAACTAAATTAACTCAAAAATTTAATAATAATAATAATAACTAACTGGCTATAAAAGAATCGTGAGCAGCAGCTTTTATGCAAAAGCAGACTCCGTACGCTAATGTACGGGGATACGCTAACGTATGGGGATACAGTACGGGGATATGCTAACGTACGGGGATACGCTATACGCTACAATACAACACAGCATGCACAGAACCGAACAATTTCATGTTCACACATGCAAGCACAGACTTGAACGTTAGTACCAAAAGCCGATACAGACAATATCCCCATACACACAGACACACACGCGCGCACACACACGCACAAATACACATAATTTCCCATGTATGCGCCCGTGGCGAGAAAAGCACGCAAATCTACAAATGCACTGGATGTGAACCCACATATTTTCTCTTATAGCAACAATAGCGGATCTGATTCCGAATGAAACACACACATACATACACACACACACACACAATACAATAATGACCCATCCGCAGATGATGGCAGGTCCTGAAAGGACAGGCAGTGTTTCATTCATGGGGAACAGAACTTCGAGTGGCAAGTGAGGTATACACACACAAACACATGTGCGCGGGCGGGCACACACTAAAGTATGCAGAAAGAGAATCGACATTGTAGTATTCATTGGTTGGGGAATGGAAAGGAAAATAAAACATTGCAGTAGGTTATTGTTGTATGGACACTATGAGCACAACAGAAAGGTAAGCAACTTACTTTGAAGCAAAGAAAGTTGTTCAGTTGCGGTCTGCTTTCTCGTCCTCTAGCTGTGATCGAGGCCATTGCGGTCATACTGCCTGTTCTCTGTGTTGACCTTAGCTCTTGGTAATATCGCTATCCATGTATGCGCTCAGCTTGGTTGCACCTCGATGTCTCATGTAATAATGTATTTGGTCGGCGAGCTCCGATTTAGGTTCCGCTCGAGTCAGTTTCGCTGAGCCAGCTTTGCACCGTGTAGCTTTTTTGGTTGTTGTGTTCTTGTGCGTGCGGCATAAGGTTTTTGCGGTACCTTTTGTTTGGCTGCGCTGTAATGCATGGAGAGAGTTTTCTTTAGTAGTATTTAGAACAGAAAGAGTCGGTGCTACTCAGTCTTCAAGAATAACAACAGTCTTGGGAACAATGATACAGTCTTCTGCACCAGTGTGTGTGCGCGACAGAACATAAACTGGTCCTTCGAGCCGGATCCGAAGAGCGAGATCCGTAGTGATTCCGTGAATGTGCCAGAGTAGGGCACGATGGCGGAAGAGGCTCCAAGACGGAGCGCCAGACGGAATTTTGGACAAAGGCCGTCCAGATTCCTCTCCGACCAGGAATCTGTTCGGAGCCGACGCAAGGCGAAGACGCCCGCACAGTCGGCCAGCGAGTACGATCACAGCAGCCTAGAGAGCTGCAGGAGGGCCGCGATCGAACGACGAGAACAAGAGATGGAGCTGGAAGCAGCTGAACGGATCGCGGAGTTGAAACGCCAGGAACTGGCCCTTGAGATCGAGCTTGCCAACAAGAGGCTAGCCGTGGAGCGAGCCAGGGCAGCAGAACAACGTGAAAGTTTGACCGGCGCTACTAGTACTGAGTATGAGGAACCGCACGTAGAATTTGCAGTTTCTGCATCTGGCAACGCGGAGATCCATGCTCAGTCGGCGGATGGAGAGCAGTCCTCCTCCGACGAGTTCAGTGGCGGTGAGGCGACTGGGCTTGGTGGCAGTTTGCCTGGGGTCCGGAGTCGTAGACCTTTGGCATCGGCACGGATCCGTTCCCCGAACAGCGCCCTGAGCACGGTTCGATCCGACGGAGAGATCCCGCCACCAACGAGGAGCAGGGCCAGACAGTACAGGAGCGACGCAGACGCATCAGTCACGGTTTCTGGTGTTTTCAGCACACGCGCTCCTGACTCCAGAGTGCAAGCAAGTGACAGGTCAGTGTTGCAGCAGAACACTCAAGTGCAGCCTCTGAGTCTGACTGGTGTGAGTGCTAGTGGGACAGTCCAGCCCTGTTTGGCAGCTACTAGTACTAGTACTAGCCAGAGTGTACATGTAGCAGCAAGCAGTGGTACTAGCCATGTGACAACAGCACATAGTAGTATGAACCAAAGACCAGCCCATAGGCACAGAGCTAGCCTATTGCGTTACAACTCACCTGCTGCCAGCAACCAGCCTACTCCCACAGCCACCTCTGGACAGGCCCAGCCCAGGAATGACAGACCAGTGCCAGCACCAAGGGTCAGGAAGAGTGCCAAGCAAACAGCTGACAAGAGTGCATTGAGCCATGCTGCAGCAGAGTTTGTGCCATTGGCACCTGCACCACAGCAAGCGAATGTGTTACCTGGTGGCGGCACGAACTGGCCGGATGCGTTCTACCAGCTTTGCCTGGGCAGGTCCCTGAAGCCGCTCGACTTGCCGAAGTTTGACGGTCAGAGACCGTCGTACCTTAAGTGGAAACAGCGATTCCTCCACTTGGTCCATGAGAACCCGCTCATGTCTGAGGACTACAAGCTGGCTCACCTTCGGGAGGCATTAGCCGGCGGTGCTGCAGCAGACCTAATTGCAGACGTGCTGGATGGTCCAGGCGCCTACACTGCCATCATGGAGGAGCTGGATCGATGGTTTGGTGGGAAGGACCGCAACCTAGAGCAACAGGAGCGAGAGCTCATGGCATGGCCTCGCATTACCAACGAGAGAGACCTGGCAACAATGAAGCAGTTTGCCGTGAAACTGCGAAACACGTTGCTCAACATGAAAGTGGCCAACATCACTCCAGGCCGTGAGTTGTATTTGTCGATTACGCAGAAGGTGCCAAGGGCAGTGCTGGCGGCATATTTTGACAAGTACGACGATACACGGTGCGACGCTGAGACGTTCTCGGAGTTCGTCATGAAACGCGTGCACAAAATGACGCGTGTGGATGAGCGTCTCGCGCCTCAGGAACCAACCAGCTCCAGCAAGCTAACAGGCCAATCAGTTCGGCCGCCGGTTCCCCCCAGACGACACATGCCATCAATGCAGCACACTCTGGCGGCAGCAATAGAGCCTTGCGGCCTCTGTGGAGACCCTCACCATCTCGCGAAGTGCCCTGATTTCCAGAGGCTTACAGTCGATAAGCGGTGGGATTTTGTGCGCGGGCACAAAGGTGTGTGCAGCTGTTGTCTCTCCCGTGGTCACTGGTCCAACGAGTGCAGGACCAACTGCAGCATATGCAAGCGACGTCACCATCAACTGCTACACTCAGACCGATCGAAGAGGGAGTTTAGCAGAGCTGATCAGGCAAGGTGGTCGCCAGCGGACGCCAACGGTGGTCGACGAGAAACAGCACACACGACCATGACCATTGACACAACTCTAGCGGCTGACAGGAAGTCGGGAGAACAGCAAGAAACAACCTCTGCACCATTGTCATTTATGACTGCGCCGGTTCTTGTCAAGTACCGTGACGGATGTGTAAGAGGGACGGCACTCTTAGACCCGGCATCTTCAACCAGCTACGTTAGGCAGCACATTGCCTCAGCAGTCGGAGCAGACGGCCCACGTGAGCCACTAACCGCATCGGTCTTGAGTGGTGAGGTAGTGAGCGGAGTGTTTGAACATGTGACTATCTCCGTTGAGGCAGTTGACGGCTCAGCGGCATCTGAGTTCCGTGCTTGGGCCATGCCATCGGTGTGCCCTAGTGTCAAACCTGTTGACTGGAGTACAACCAAGTATGCCTGGGAGGACCTCAAGGACATACCATTTCCAGCTCTGTGCAGTGGGCAGATTGACGTGCTGATCGGCCTCAATGCAATCCAGCTTCATACTGTGCTGGAAGAGATTACCACACAGCACCCCAGCCATGTAATTGCCCGGCACACTCCACTAGGCTGGGTATGTCTGAGCCCAGGGAGAGCTGAGTCGAGCCCGGCCAGTTTTTCAGCAGTTGTCACGCCGACCTCAGAAGAGATGAGCCTCGAGGTACTCGTCAGAAATCACCTTGAGATGGAGTCAGCTGGCACGAGGCCACCCAGTTACGACAGCATGCCATCAGCAGACGATAGGCAAGTCGAAGAGCGTACAACTGCCACGGCGCAGTTTGCCAGTGGCAGAGTGGAGCTGGGCGTTCCGTGGATTGAGATGGAGCCTCACGTTTCCTCAAATCGTCCGCAAGCCGCACAGCGACTGCGCAGCCTGGAGCACTCGCTAAGCCGCCGTCCGAGTGTACGGCAACGGTACCATGACGTTATGCAGAGTCATCTCGCCAAGGGATACATCCGCGAAGTACCCAGTGAAGAGGTAGACGGTGACGGCGACAATCAATGGTTTCTCCCCCACTTCCCAGTGGTTCGAGATGACAAAGAGACGACAAAGGTGCGGATAGTTTTCGACGCCGCAGCCAAATGGGACGGCCGCTCTATCAATGATGAGATGCACAGTGGCCTGGCACTTCAGACAGACCTCGTCAAGGTCCTGATTCGTTTCTGCTCTGAACCGGTGGCACTCGTAGCTGATATTTCGGAGATGTTCTTGCAAGTGATGCCCAGGAAATCAGACCGCAAGTACCACCGTTTCCTCTGGCGGTTCGACGACGGCCCGGCACACGTCTATGAGTTTCAGCGCGTGGTGTTTGGTATCAAGGCCTCTCCGTACCTGGCAGGCAGGGCGGTCCAAGAAGTGTTGCATCGGTTCGGCCCTGAGTATCCAGCACACACTATAGAAGCTCTGGAGCGCAGCCGTTACATTGATGATCTGCTTGCGTTGAGGCCCACAGTCGCGGACGCTGTGAAAAGCCGCTTGCACTGTCAGGAGATCCTAGCTCACGGTGGATTCCACTTACGCAAGTGGTTGTCTAATAGCGCAGAGGTCGTGGAAAGCGTTCCGGTAGCAGATCGCGCAGCGTCCACAGTGGTCAACGTCGGCGACCATGTGCACTGCACCCTGCCAACAACGAAGACACTGGGAGTAACCTGGTCAGCAAAGCAGGACACCTTCACCTTCCGCTTACAGCAACCTCAGCTTTCAAAACTCACTAGAAGATCCGTGCTCAGTGGTGTCGCGACAGCTTTCGACCCACGTGGCCAGATTTCGCCATTCATCATCCGAGCGCGCGTCCTACTGCAGGATACGTGGCTTCTCGGCCTGTCTTGGGATGATGAGCTCCCGTCAACAGTAGCCACTAAGTGGAAGGCATGGTTTGGCGAACTGCCAGCCCTAGCAGCGATAGCAGCGCCGCGCAGCTTCAAGGCATCAGCAGCATCCTCCGTATCCATCCATACCTTCACGGACGCGTCCGACCGCGCTATTGCAGCAGCCACCTACGTTCTAGCTGAAGATAGCTCGGGTGCGGTGCGAGTGACACTCGCCATGGCCAAGGCCAAGACAGCGCCGACCCGTCGTCAGACCATTCCACAGCTGGAGCTTCGTGGAGCAGTGCTCGGACTGAGGATCAGCAGCGAAGTCGGTGATGCTTTGGATGTGCCAATTTCCGAACACACCTTCTGGACCGACTCGATGAATGTTCTGGGATGGATCCGGTCGCACAGCCGTCGATTCAAGGTGGACATTGGCAACCGCGTGTCCGAGCTGCAACGTGCCACCAAGCCGTCCCAGTGGCGACATGTTCCCGGAAAACAGAATCCGGCCGACAAGGGTACGCGTGGGCTAGCAGCGGAGGCATTGGCTAGTGATCAAGAATGGTGGCATGGTCCCAAGTTCCTAGCCAAGAGCGCAGACACTTGGCCACAACAACCGCAGCCTGTCCAAACAGTGGACCTCCCTGGAGAGGTTCAACGAGAATCAACGTTCATGGCTGAGAAGGGTTTCACAAGTCCCGCCGTGGTGGAACGACTCCAACCGGAGCAGTATTCAAGATGGCAGCAGTTGGCTCGCATAACAGCGTGGTGCCAACGCTTTATCTGCAACTGCAGACGCCGCGTTGCCACGAAGGGGGAAGGCCATCCCCACGGAGAGAACGGAGAGATCAACGAGGTCATTGCACTGTTGCAGGTGACAACAGCCACATCAGTGCTTGCAGTGCCAGAGTTAGCAGCGTCAGAGCTACAGGCAGCTGAGGACCACTGGGTACTACAAGCACAGATTGATGTATATGGTTCCACAAGGCATCAGTTAGCAGCCGGCAAGCCAGTGCAAAAGCAAGACCCACTTGCTGCACCAGGACCAGAGCTCGACTCGTCGCGGAAGCAGCTCTTGGTGGTGGGAGGTCGACTGAAAGCATCCAGCCATCTGCCCTATCGGTTGCGTCAGCCAGTCATTCTGCCCGCTAAGCACACTGTCACTAGGTTGATTGTTGAGCAGCAGGACCGAATCTGCAAGCATGCCGCTGGTCCTCAGCACCTCCTGGCCAAGTTGCGCGAGAGGTTCTGGATAGTCAACGGTCTGTCAGTAACGAAAGCTGTGCGCCAAGCTTGTGTTCGATGCCGGCGACAGTGGAGGCCACCAGCATCCCAGATTATGGGTCAGCTACCCGACATCCGTACGGCTGGGTCCCTGCAGGTATTCACTTCATGTGGCATCGACTTTGCGGGCCCATTTCAGACCAAGCAAGGGCGGGGCAGAGCCCAGGCAAAGCGCTACCTATGCCTGTTTACCTGCCTGGAAACGAGAGCCTGCCACCTGGAGTTGGTATACTCTCTGGATACCGATGGTTTCCTCTTGGCTCTGACCCGGTTCACCAAGCGGCGCGGCACGCCCCAGCAGATAGTGACAGACAACGGTACGAATTTCTCAGCAGCAGCCCGTGAGTTGCGAGAGGCAGTTGAGCAGCTTGACCGCCGCGAGATTGCCCGAAGCCTGGCGGACAACCGAGTGAGGTGGCGGTTCAACCCTCCTCGCGCGCCACACTTTGGTGGTGCATTCGAAGTAATGATCAAGGCCGCAAAGAGAGCCCTATACTCGACTCTTGCCAAAGCTGACATCACCGATGAGGAGCTGCACACGGCGTTTGTCATTGCCGAAGAGCTAATCAACTCCCGCCCGCTGATGCCTCTGTCTGCAGACCCCGAGGATCCGGAAGCCCTCACACCACAGCATTTCCTTGCTGGACGATGCAGCCCTCCACTGCCTATTGAGCTTGCCGCAGATGCAAGGGACCGGGTACACCCCCGAGAGCGCTACGTCTTAGTTCAACAGCTCCTGAAGGAAGTGTGGACACGGTGGCTCACGGAGTTCGTGCCATTGCTCAACGCGCGCAAGAAGTGGCGTCGGACGCAGAAGAATGTGGAAGTTGGAGACGTCGTACTATGCATGGAGCCTGACACGCCGCACGGCAAGTGGCCCATGGGCAGAGTGTGCAACACGTTCCCCGGCCCTGATGGCTGCGTCAGAGTAGTTGACGTCCGCATGCGTGGCAAGACCTACCGCTGATCCATCCACCGGCTCATTCCAATCCTCGATATGGCGGATAATTGAGCAGCCTGGTGACATCGGCCGGTAACGCTATCTCAGCTAAGTATCGCAGTGTGACTCTCGAGCAATGTTTGCAATAGCTATGTAAACTGCATGAGTGTGACACTTGTCTTGTTTTGTTTTTCTCTATCTATTTCTCTTAGTTTTTTCGAGACGGTTCTGATCAATACCTGTAGGTTCTAGTTTGCTCGCTTTCATAGCACATTACTGCGGTTACCTCGTACTCACCATTCGTGAGTGAAGGGGGAGATGTTCAGTTGCGGTCTGCTTTCTCGTCCTCTAGCTGTGATCGAGGCCATTGCGGTCATACTGCCTGTTCTCTGTGTTGACCTTAGCTCTTGGTAATATCGCTATCCATGTATGCGCTCAGCTTGGTTGCACCTCGATGTCTCATGTAATAATGTATTTGGTCGGCGAGCTCCGATTTAGGTTCCGCTCGAGTCAGTTTCGCTGAGCCAGCTTTGCACCGTGTAGCTTTTTTGGTTGTTGTGTTCTTGTGCGTGCGGCATAAGGTTTTTGCAGTACCTTTTGTTTGGCTGCGCTGTAATGCATGGAGAGAGTTTTCTTTAGTAGTATTTAGAACAGAAAGAGTCGGTGCTACTCAGTCTTCAAGAATAACAACAGTCTTGGGAACAATGATACAGTCTTCTGCACCAGTGTGTGTGCGCGACAGAACAAAAGTTATTATTCCACGGATCTCAGAAGGAAAGAACGTTCCAGAATGCTGCACTGGCAACAGGCAGCATGCATGTGCGTGGCGCCTGCAGTCGGTCCAGCTGCCGGCCTCGCAGTGCTGAAAAGAATGTGCAGTACAGCATGTCACATCGTATCGCAGCCTGGACAAATAGGCGCTGGGAAGTCCTAGTTATGTGCTCACCTACACCACGATGCACCAATCTGCTGAGCTATTTTGGCAACAACTTTGTCCACTTGAGACTCCCATGGGCTGAGGCAGTTGTTCAGGGCTGCACCAAGGTGAACGGCAATGACCACTGATGGCAATGCAATCCATGACACACAGTCACTAGGGCATCGTTAACATGGCGCTGATCACCGCCATTGACGAACCAGTCGCCACCGTCAGCAGTGGCGGTAGGTTGTGACAAGTGTGGTGCAATATTGTCAGCAAATTCAGTACTCGGGATAAGATGAGTGACAAAGGGAACGTTGTGTTTGTATAATATTGAAGTGAACAGGGATGATCACAAACCCTGCGCGTACTCCACCGTGGGTTACAAGAAAATTCCGGACTGGACGACAAGCAAACGCCAACCTGCTACATCAAACCAGGCAGATACTATTACGATAGCTGCCAAACCAGGTCAATGTCGACCCACTGCATAATGTCAATGTCAAACAACTCCTGCAGGAGAAGACTGGGGTGTTGGCGTCCAGTGTACAGACACCAGCCACATTTCCTGTGTCTTTTGCAGCATACTATATATACAGGCTGAGACTCATCACTGTAGAGTCCACTATTATGCATGAGTTTTATTTGTACAATAAATACATGGCAGGCGTACACGGTGTGCCTCGCGGGACTGCGAGATGCTGCAGAAGATCAGGTTCGACCTTTCTGGACGGCCATTCACCGACGGTGGGCTACTGCCCCTAGACGATGCTGGAGGAACTAGATTCCAGTGAAAACCCAAGATTCCGTTGCTCCTGGACGCTTAGACGTGTGGTGATATCTGCCAGGTGCGCAGTAACTAGTATTTTCATCGCTTTTTTTTTTTTTTTTTTTACTCAAAAACACAGCCCTACTAATAATCAGGGGAAGAGGACAACTGAAATGACACTGGACAACAAGACAAAGGGGAGTAGGGGCGATGTGCCGATGTGGTTGGCGAGGCTCATCCGACCGGAGGTCTCGGAATCAACGCCTACGACCAGCATCGATAGGAATGCAGCTAGGGAGGGAGGGAGATCAAGTGAGAAAGAGAAAGAGTGAGAGAGAGGGGGAGAGGGAGAGGGAGAGGGAGAGAGAGAGAGAGAGAGAGAGAGAGAGAGAGAGAGAGAGAGAGAGAGAGAGAGAGAGAGAGAGATAGAGAGAGAGATAGAGAGAGAGAGAGAGAGAGAGAGAGAGAGAGAGAGAGAGAGAGAGAGAGAGAGAGAGAGAGAGAGAGAGAGAGAGAGAGAGAGAGAGAGAGAGAGAGAGAGAGAGAGAGAGAGGAGAGAGAGAGAGAGAGAGAGAGAGGAGGGAGGAGAGAGAGACAGACAGACAGAGGGAGAGAGAGAGGGAGAGAGAGAGGGAG